GAGACTTAGCCGCACCAGGGGACGAAGTGGTCACCACTGGGGGCTTGAGGCTCGACCCAACCACAGAGGAGGGAGGGGAGCTGGGGGAAGAAGTCAGGAGGGTCAAAGGAGGAGCAAGGTCGGGGCCCAACGCAGCGGGGGCTACAGAGCCCGGTCTTCCAATACAGGCCGACTCGGGGGCTTGGTCGCCCACCCCACGAGCCTGAGAGGGTACAACAGAAACATTCATCGACATACAGACGAAGAGAGACAAATTCATCCACGAATGTGCCCCCATACCCACCATGGAGCCACAATTAGAGGCAGGACACCCAACAGGAAGCTATCGCCGATCATGCCGGGGCCCCCTAGGGGTGCGTCGTGAGTATACGCCCCACAAACGCCACCTTAAGAACCGTCAGTCCGTCGAGATCGGGTTCAGCGACGAAAGGGGGATTGACAATAAAAGGTTCCCCTCGCTCGAGACGTTGGGTACTACAGTTCTACGGGTGCAAGAGTATGCCTCCTCAAGCACCCGGGCGTCAAAATAGAAGAAGTCCAAAGGAATAACCAAAACAAGCAAAAGGTCGGCAGGAAACGACAAGCAGATAGGAGAAGAGGGGGGAGAAAAACGAAACATAAGGAAAAGGAAAAGCGATCCGGCACAATTAGAGAAGACAGCAGCAGGAGCGTAAGGCCACAAAAGGACAGAGGACTGTCCCACGGAGCATCACACTCCGGCAGCCGTCCACCAAGCCCCCTCACGACGCTAACGGGCCGGATGGGGAGGGCAAATGGACCCGTGTTGGTGTGGCAAATGGACCCGAGTTGGTGTGGCAAATGGACCCGAGTTGGTGTGGCAAATGGATGGTGTGGCGGTCGGCACTTGCTGTTCGTTTGGTAATGGGCACGCTTTATCCTGTTAGAGTTTGTGTTTTGGGAAGTATACACACGCGCTCACTCCATTCTTCCCCCTGACAACCACCAGCCGGCTATGTCAAGGTGAACTTGCTGGCTCCATGATATCATGATCCTTCAACTTGGTTATCTCAGAGTTAAAGGAAAGTCTCCGGAGATTTAGAGATAGTTCAATTAAGTTTTAAAATGTCACTCAACATTTGCTGGTGAGGATCCCAGTTTGTGACTCGATGTGAAGCAGTGGGCTGGTGCTGGTGTATATATTGTGTGTATATTTTCAACACAAAGATTTATGCCTAGCCATGTTTAGTTAACCTTTGTGTTCTTGCCAATCTGGGAGGCATCTTTTAGAAGGTCTGTGCATGCTCATGATAATTTATTCTTATTAGTGGAATATTGACATATTCCAATACTGAGCATATTAGTTACAACAGTGGTGGTGTGGTGTGGTGCGAGGCTGGTGTAGTGTGGTGCGAGGCTGGTGTAGTGTGGTGCGAGGCTGGTGTAGTGTGCTGCGAGGCTGGTGTAGTGTGGTGCGAGGCTGGTGTAGTGTGCTGCGAGGCTGGTGTAGTGTGCTGCGAGGCTGGTGTAGTGTGGTGTGAGGTGTTGTGGTGCAAGGTTGGTGTAGTGTGGTGTGAGGTGAGTAGTGAAGTTGAGGACTAGAACTGGGCGCGACTTCCCAGGTAGATGTGGCCAGCAGGGCACACCTGCCCAGGTAGATGTGGCCAGCAGGGCACACCTGCCCAGGTAGATGTGGCCAGCAGGGCATACCTGCCCAGGTAGATGTGGCCAGCAGGGCATACCTGCCCAGGTAGATGTGGCCAGCAGGGCATACCTGCCCAGGTAGATGTGGCCAGCAGGGCACACCTGCCCAGGTAGATGTGGCCAGCAGGGCACACCTGCCCAGGTAGATGTGGCCAGCAGGGCATACCTGCCCAGGTAGATGTGGCCAGCAGGGCACACCTGCCCAGGTAGATGTGGCCAGCAGGGCACACCTGCCCAGGTAGATGTGGCCAGCAGGGCATACCTGCCCAGGTAGATGTGGCCAGCAGGGCACACCTGCCCAGGTAGATGTGGCCAGCAGGGCACACCTGCCCAGGTAGATGTGGCCAGCAGGGCACACCTGCCCAGGTAGATGTGGCCAGCAGGGCACACCTGCCCAGGTAGATGTGGCCAGCAGGGCACACCTGCCCAGGTAGATGTGGCCAGCAGGGCACACCTGCCCTGGTAGATGTGGCCAGCAGGGCACACCTGCCCTGGTAGATGTGGCCAGCAGGGCACACCTGCCCTGGTAGATGTGGCCAGCAGGGCACACCTGCCCTGGTAGATGTGGCCAGCAGGGCACACCTGCCCAGGTAGATGTGGCCAGCAGGGCACACCTGCCCAGGTAGATGTGGCCAGCAGGGCACACCTGCCCAGGTAGATGTGGCCAGCAGGGCACACCTGCCCAGGTAGATGTGGCCAGCAGGCACACCTGCCCAGGTAGACGTGGCCAGCAGGGCACACCTGCCCAGGTAGATGTGGCCAGCAGGGCACACCTGCCCAGGTAGATGTGGCCAGCAGGCACACCTGCCCAGGTAGACGTGGCCAGCAGGGCACACCTGCCCAGGTAGATGTGGCCAGCAGGGCACACCTGCCCAGGTAGATGTGGCCAGCAGGGCACACCTGCCCAGGTAGATGTGGCCAGCAGGGCACACCTGCCCAGGTAGATGTGGCCAGCAGGGCACACCTGCCCAGGTAGATGTGGCCAGCAGGGCACACCTGCCCAGGAAGATGTGGCCAGCAGGGCACACCTGCCCAGGTAGATGTGGCCAGCAGGGCACACCTGCCCAGGTAGATGTGGCCAGCAGGGCACACCTGCCCAGGTAGATGTGGCCAGCAGGGCACACCTGCCCAGGTAGATGTGGCCAGCAGGGCACACCTGCCCAGGTAGATGTGGCCAGCAGGGCACACCTGCCCAGGTAGATGTGGACAGCAGGCACACCTGCCCAGGTAGATGTGGCCAGCAGGGCACACCTGCCCAGGTAGATGTGGCCAGCAGGCACACCTGCCCAGGTAGATGTGGCCAGCAGGCCACACCTGCCCAGGTAGATGTGGCCAGCAGGGCACACCTGCCCAGGTAGATGTGGCCAGCAGGGCACACCTGCCCAGGTAGATGTGGCCAGCAGGCACACCTGCCCAGGTAGATGTGGCCAGCAGGACACACCTGCCCAGGTAGATGTGGCCAGCAGGGCACACCTGCCTAGGTAGATGTGACCAGCAGGCACACCTGCCCAGGTAGATGTGGCCAACGGGACACACCTGCCCAGGTAGATGTGGCCAGCAGGACACACCTGCCCAGGTAGATGTGGCCAGCAGGCACACCTGCCCAGGTAGATGTGGCCAGCAGGACACACCTGCCCAGGTAGATGTGGCCAGCAGGGCACACCTGCCTAGGTAGATGTGGCCAGCAGGGCACACCTGCCCAGGTAGATGTGGCCAGCAGGACACACCTGCCCAGGTAGATGTGGCCAGCAGGGCACACCTGCCTAGGTAGATGTGGCCAGCAGGCACACCTGCCCAGGTAGATGTGGCCAGCAGGACACACCTGCCCAGGTAGATGTGGCCAGCAGGGCACACCTGCCTAGATAGATGTGGCCAGCAGGGCACACCTGCCCAGGTAGATGTGGCCAGCAGGGCACACTTGCCTAGGTAGATGTGGCCAGCAGGGCACACCTGCCCAGGTAGATGTGGCCAGCAGGACACACCTGCCCAGGTAGATGTGGCCAGCAGGGCACACCTGCCTAGGTAGATGTGGCCAGCAGGGCACACCTGCCTAGGTAGATGTGGCCAGCAGGGCACACCTGCCCAGGTAGATGCGGCCAGCAGGCACACCTGCCCAGGTAGATGTGGCCAGCAGGGCACACCTGCCTAGGTAGATGTGGCCAGCAGGGCACACCTGCCCAGGTAGATGTGGCCAGCAGGACACACCTGCCCAGGTAGATGTGGCCAGCAGGACACACCTGCCCAGGTAGATGTGGCCAGCAGGGCACACCTGCCCAGGTAGATGCGGCCAGCAGGCACACCTGCCCAGGTAGATGTGGCCAACAGGACACACCTGCCCAGGTGAGCGCGGGGGGGACGCATCTCCAGGGGTGAGAGGTGCGAGTATGTGTAGCATGTGTGCAGGTGTGTAGCATGTGTGCAGGTGTGTAGCATGTGTGCAGGTGTGTCTGTTAAAGTGTATGTATTGGAAGCGTAGATTTATTCAGGTGAGTATGCTTAGAGAATAGGTTAAGCATGGGGATGTACTCACCTAGTTGTACTCACCTAGTTGTGCTTGCGGGGGTTGAGCTTTGGCTCTTTGGTCCCGCCTCTCAACTGTCAATCAACAGGTGTACAGGTTCCTGAGCCTACTGGGCTCTATCATATCTACATTTAAAACTGTGTATGCAACCCGTTCTCGCACTTGCTTAAGTCAATATTGGCTTATTTAATAAGTGCATATGTGACATACTAATTGATTGTAAATATTTTAGTTTACCTTGAAAAGCTTCATAGAAAACACCGACCTTACCTAACCTTCTTAGTATGTTAAGATAAGCATCTTATTGCTTCTTAATTACAATTATTACTTAACCTATCAACGGTAACCTATCAATCATGTCTGACTCATGTCATGTATTCCCTAGCAGGGACACATGTATCACTAAGGTATTCCCTAGCAGGGACACATGTATCACTAAGGTATTCCCTAGTAGGGACACATGTATCACTAAGGTATTCCCTAGCAGGGACACATGTATCACTAAGGTATTCCCTAGCAGGGACACATGTATCACAAAGGTATTCCCTAGCAGGGACACATGTATCACTAAGGTATTCCCTAGCAGGGACACATGTATCACTAAGGTATTCCCTAGCAGGGACACATGTATCACTAAGGTATTCCCTAGCAGGGACACATGTATCACTAAGGTATTCCCTAGCAGGGACACATGTATCACAAAGGTATTCCCTAGCAGGGACACATGTATCACTAAGGTATTCCCTAGCAGGGACACATGTATCACTAAGGTATTCCCTAGCAGGGATACATGTATTACAGAGGTAGAGGGACTGACCCGAGGTGAGTGGAGCGAATATGGCGTTCAATGGCGTCGGAGGCGGCAGTCATCTCGTGGCAGCCCGTCCACGTGCACTTGAACATGGTCCTCGTGGAGCTCTGTGGGGGAGAGACGGTGTGGTCAGTACCTGTGTGGCGCCCCCCTGCACCCCCACCCTCACACTCACCCTGTAACACGCTCCCTCACCCTGTAACACGCTCCCACACCCTGTAACACTCTCCCTCACCCTGTAACACTCTCCCTCACCCTGTAACACTCTCCCTCACCCTGTAACACTCTCCCTCACCCTGTAACACGCTCCCACACCCTGTAACACGCTCCCTCACCTTGTAACATGCTCCCACACCCTGTAACACACTCCCTCACCCTGTAACACACTCCCTCACTCTGTAACACACTCCCACACCCTGTAACACTCTCCCACACCTTGTAACACTCTCCCACACCCTGTAACATGCTCCCACACCCTGTAACACGCTCCCACACCCTGTAACACTCTCCCACACCTTGTAACACTCTCCCACACCCTGTAACATGCTCCCACACCCTGTAACACGCTCCCACACCCTGTAACACGCTCCCACACCCTGTAACACACTCCCTCACCCTGTAACACTCTCCCACACCCTGTAACACGCTCCCTCACCCTGTAACATGCTCCCACACCCTGTAACACTCTCCCTCACCCTGTAACACACTCCCACACCCTGTAACACTCTCCCACACCCTGTAACACTCTCCCTCACCCTGTAACACACTCCCTCACCCTGTAACATGCTCCCACACCCTGTAACATGCCCCCACACCCTGTAACACGCTCCCACACCCTGTAACATGCTCCCACACCCTGTAACACGCTCCCACACCCTGTAACACTCTCCCTCACCCTGTAACACACTCCCACACCCTGTAACACTCTCCCACACCCTGTAACACACTCTCACACCCTGTAACACACTCCCTCACCCTGTAACACACTCCCTCACCCTGTAACATGCTCCCACACCCTGTAACACGCTCCCTCACTCTGTAACATGCTCCCACACCCTGTAACACTCTCCCTCACCCTGTAACATGCTCCCTCACCCTGTAACACACTCCCTCACCCTGTAACACACTCCCTCACCCTGTAACACACTCCCACACCCTGTAACATGCTACCACACCCTGTAACACACTCCCTCACCCTGTAACACGCTCCCACACCCTGTAACACTCTCCCTCACCCTGTAACATGCTCCCACACCCTGTAACACACTCCCTCACCCTGTAACATGCTCCCACACCCTGTAACACACTCCCACACCCTGTAACATGCTCCCACACCCTGTAACACTCTCCCTCACCCTGTAACATGCTCCCACACCCTGTAACACACTCCCACACCCTGTAACACTCTCCCACACCCTGTAACACACTCCCACACCCTGTAACACTCTCCCACACCCTGTAACACACTCCCACACCCTGTAACACGCTCCCTCACCCTGTAACATGCTCCCACACCCTGTAACACACTCCCACACCCTGTAACACGCTCCCTCACCCTGTAACATGTTCCCACACCCTGTAACACTCTCCCTCACCCTGTAACACTCCCCCACACCCTGTAACACCCTGGGAGCCAGAGAGGTAAGTCGGGTGACTTCGGATCTCTTGCAGAGTCTGAAACACTGATCAGTTTGTATGGGTTTGCAAACATGTTAATTAATGCAACAATGGTGGCAAGGCTTAGCTTAGGGTCCTGCCTTCATCCCTTCTTATAAACACGTGTGGAGTGGTGTGTCGCCTCCATTAATCACCTTAGTCTCCGGATCACCAGTCTCCGTGGTGTAGTGGTAAGACTCTCGCCTGGCGTTCCGCTTTGTCATGGGTTCGTATCCTGGCCGGGGAGGATTTACTGGGCGCAAATCCTTAACTGTAGCCTCTGTTTAACTCAACAGTAAAATGTGTACTTGGTTGTAACAACGATTCTTCGCGGCGGGGATCGTATTCCAGGGACCTGCCCGAAACGCTACACGTACTAGTGGCTCTACAAGAATGTAACAACTCTTGTATATATCTCAAAATAGTTTAGCCAAACAACTTTAATGAAAAGATTCCCGAGTGTATTACACGTGGCAACAGACCACCACAAGCTAATCTTCCCTCCCCAACCAGCTCAATAGTCGTGGCAGTTTTGTGGTGTATAAACTGGCCGCGGGTGGACGCCAGGGGGAGTGTGACTGGGGAGTGGAGAGAAGGTCACCAGGGGTCCGGGATGGTGAAGCTGTCACTCCACCAGGGGTGGGTCACCCTGGTCCCATAAGGTAAAGTGTGTGTCTCTGATATATTATTCCATGTCTAAATTATCTCCCATTATGCCAGTATAGGACAGGGCCTTAAGATAAACAGAGCATTAACGTGGAACTTGCCGATATTATGCAAGAGGAGGGTGTAAATATGGGCTGTCGGCAAGGACAACAGGAACATGCAAATATCAACGTACTGGAGTGAGAGAGAAAATGCAGAATAGAACCAGTGAAGAGCAGAGGTGTCATAGGCACAATCAGAGAACACTGTATAAACATCAGAGGTCCAGTGAAGAGCAGAGGTGCCATAGGCACAATCAGAGAACACTGTATAAACATCAGAGGTCCAGTGAAGAGCAGAGGTGCCATAGGCACAATCAGAGAACACTGTATAAACATCAGAGGTCCAGTGAAGAGCAGAGGTGCCATAGGCACAATCAGAGAACACTGTATAAACATCAGAGGTCCAGTGAAGAGCAGAGGTGCCATAGGCACAATCAGAGAACACTGTATAAACATCAGAGGTCCAGTGAAGAGTGTCAGGTGAGGGGCAGGAGTGTCAGGTGAGGGGGCAGGAGTGCCAGGTGAGGGGGCAGGAGTGTCAGGTGAGGGGGCAGGAGTGCCAGGTGAGGGGCAGGAGTGTCAGGTGAGGGGCAGGAGTGTCAGGTGAGGGGCAGGAGTGTCAGGTGAGGGGCAGGAGTGTCAGATGAGGGGCAGGAGTGTCAGGTGAGGGGCAGGAGTGTCAGGTGAGGGGCAGGAGTGTCAGGTGAGGGGCAGGAGTGTCAGGTGAGGGGGCAGGAGTGCCAGGTGAGGGGGCAGGAGTGTCAGGTGAGGGGCAGGAGTGCCAGGTGAGTGTCAGGTGAGGGGCAGGAGTGCCAGGTGAGTGGCAGGAGTGTCAGGTGAGGGGCAGGAGTATCAGGTGAGTGGCAAGAGTGCCAGGTGAGGGGCAAGAGTGCCAGGTGAGGGGCAAGAGTGCCAGGTGAGTGGCAGGAGTGTCAGGTGAGTGGCAGGTGAGTGGCAAGAGTGCCAGGTGAGGGGCAAGAGTGCCAGGTGAGGGGCAAGAGTGCCAGGTGAGGGGCAAGAGTGCCAGGTGAGTGGCAAGAGTGCCAGGTGAGTGGCAAGAGTGCCAGGTGAGTGGCAAGAGTGCCAGGTGAGTGGCAAGAGTGCCAGGTGAGTGGCAAGAGTGCCAGGTGAGGGGCAAGAGTGCCAGGTGAGGGGCAAGAGTGCCAGATGAGTGGCAAGAGTGCCAGGTGAGTGGCAAGAGTGCCAGGTGAGTGGCAAGAGTGCCAGGTGAGGGGCAAGAGTGCCAGGTGAGTGGCAAGAGTGCCAGGTGAGGGGCAAGAGTGCCAGGTGAGGGGCAAGAGTGCCAGGTGAGGGGCAAGAGTGCCAGGTGAGGGGCAAGAGTGCCAGGTGAGTGGCAAGAGTGCCAGGTGAGGGGGGCAGGAGTGCCAGGTGAGGGGGCAGGAGTGCCAGGCGAGGGGGCAGGCGTGCCAGGTGAGGGGGCAGGAGTGCCAGGTGAGGGGCAGGAGTGCCAGGTGAGGGGGGCAGCAGTGCCAGGTGAGGGGCAGGAGTGCCAGGTGAGGGGTCAGGAGTGCCAGGTGAGGGGGCAGGAGTGCCAGGTGAGGGGGCAGGAGTGCCAGGTGAGTGGCAGGACTGCCAGGTGAGTGGCAGGAGTGCCAGGTGAGGGGGCAGGAGTGCCAGGTGAGGGGGCAGGAGTGCCAGGTGAGGGGGCAGGAGTGTCAGGTGAGGGGCAGGAGTGCCAGGTGAGGGGCAGGAGTGTCAGGTGAGGGGGCAGGAGTGTCAGGTGAGGGGGCAGGAGTGCCAGGTGAGGGGGCAGGAGTGCCAGGTGAGGGGCAGGAGTGCCAGGTGAGTGGCAGGAGTGCCAGGTGAGGGGGCAGGAGTGACAGGTGAGGGGGCAGGAGTGCCAGGTGAGGGGGCAGGAGTGCCAGGTGAGGGGGGCAGGAGTGCCAGGTGAGGGGGCAGCCGTGCCAGGTGAGGGGGCAGGAATGCCAGGTGAGGGGACAGGAGTGCCAGGTGAGGGGCAGGAGTGCCAGGTGAGGGGCAGGAGTGCCAGGTGAGGGGGCAGGAGTGCCAGGTGAGAGGGGCAGGAGTGCCAGGTGAGTGGCAGGAGTGCCAGGTGAGTAGCAGGAGTGTCAGGTGAGGGGCAGGAGTGCCAGGTGAGGGGGCAGGAGTGCCAGGTGAGGGGCAGGAGTGCCAGGTGAGTGGCAGGAGTGCCAGGTGAGGGGGCAGGAGTGCCAGGTGAGGGGCAGGAGTATCAGGTGAGGGGCAGGAGTGTCAGGTGAGGGGGCAGGAGTGCCAGGTGAGGGGCAGGAGTGCCAGGTGAGGGGCAGGAGTGCCAGGTGAGGGGGCAGGAGTGCCAGGTGAGGGGCAGGAGTATCAGGTGAGGGGCAGGAGTGTCAGGTGAGGGGCAGGAGTGCCAGGTGAGGGGCAGGAGTGCCAGGTGAGGGGCAGGAGTGCCAGGTGAGGGGGCAGGAGTGACAGGTGAGGGGCAGGAGTACCAGGTGAGGGGCAGGAGTGCCAGGTGAGGGGCAGGAGTGCCAGGTGAGGGGCAGGAGTGCCAGGTGAGGGGCAGGAGTGCCAGGTGAGGGGCAGGAGTGCCAGGTGAGGGGCAGGAGTGCCAGGTGAGGGGGCAGGAGTGCCAGGCCACACCAGCCTCTCCCACCGTCCTGGGGTCGTCATATCGACCCACAGACAACCTCCAAGGCTGTGTTTAGTTAGTAAATACTTCATGTGTGTGTTGAGTGATGACAATTGTGGCTATGGTTCAGCCTGCACGCCACATATGT